CTTCAGCTGAATGACTCACCAGCTCCAGCATTTACTTCAGGCTGGGACATCTTCTGTAGATGAAGAAAGAGTTGTTTTGCTGGCTAATGACTGAACATATCATTATTGAAGTTGCTGGTAGTCTTAGCATACGCAACAGCTAGGTATCACTTTAAAGGTTTCCTTTGCTGCATGATGTGGCCTTATACCCCTAAACCTTTCAAAACATGAGCTAGCTTGGTCTCTGGTCTCAATTTTGTATGGCACAAATGGTTTTATCTGGTTTTAAACAACACAGAAGTGGTTTCAGCTATAGCTTGCAGACATAGTCATGCATTATACAGCCCTGAATCGTATTTGTAGCACATGCATGCACATATTTTAAAAAAATAAAATGAAAACTGAGTAATAATAGAGGGTGTGGTTATTCCTCATAAAAAGTAACATAGAGGGAGAAAGTACAAATCTCAGGGGGGTTACATATTTAAGTAGGTTATCTAAACTTTACATACCCTGCAAGGTTGGAGTTTCTTTTTAGTGTGTGTCATCTGTATGCTCTACAGATTTTCTCTTCTGAATCATGGTCAGTCATGTTAATTGAGTGATGTGTATTGTGTCCTAATCTTAGTGGGTTTTCTGATTCCTTACTAGGGCAAAATAGACTGAGCCTCTATCTCTACAATACCGCTGGTGTGTATAGGGAGGGATAAGGTAAGGTATTTTGTGTTTTTCTTCTAGGGAAAGGAATGCACCTGTCTAGGCAGGTGGGAGTTAAAGTAGTGGCAACATTTGTTATCCAAGAATGTATAAATCTGATGCAGGATGGCTCTAAGAAAGAAGTTATTAGCTTTCATCCATGCTCTTTCGCCTGCCAGTAAACGTGTGGAATTAACAGACATATGTAGCCTAACATAGACTGTCTTGATTGATCAATAGCATTGAATGTCCATGTGAAGCTAAAGTGGGATTTTCCTAAAGTGCACAGCTTACCCTAAGTTGTCATCTGTTCCTCTGTATTAAAAGCATATGCTGCCATTTCAAAATTGCTGAGAGTCCTTGTCTTTTGTTGCCTTCAGAGGGAGATGTGGTTGTTGGGCATGTCTGAAAAGTAGGTCACTGTCATGTCAAGTTTAGACATATCTAACTCTATGCTCCAGAGAAGATTTAGTGTCATTAATCTTACCTGGGCACGGGGATACAGTGGTACAAGTGCACTGACTCACCCAGCTTTCAGTGCAAGCAGCTCTGATTGGTGTTGACACACTTCTGTGTTTCTCAAGAGCCTGCCAGTGATGTGAGTGGTAATTCAGGTGGGTGTCTGATGTGCTGATCGTGTGTCACTGTGAAAGACTGACAGGAGGGGGCTGGGTGTGTTGTGGTAAACCTGCACTTTGCCACTAGCCGTCTTTTTACCGCTAGCTGTATTGTAGGTGAGGAAAGCTTAGACATGGGCTGGTGTAAGTAGCTTTCCTGGTAATTATGAACTCTGGTCTATGCCCTTTTTCAAGTGGGAGTTCTGTGCTCACTTCCATGCTACAGACCTTGTAAATGGTCTGTATATCAAATGTAAGTGTTGCAGTCAAGAACTGTTCTCCCTAAAGTATTCACAAGAAGTAAAAGTTTTCATAGCCAACTGAAAATTGTCAAAATCCTTTGTTTTTAAAAAATGGGCATTCTGGTCTCTTAGAAGGTGACAAGACCTAGGAGAAAAATATTTATGCCATAGGTTTTTTATTTTTTCTTTTTAAATAAGGGAGTAGACACTACCTTGTATCATCTTAAGTTCCTTTTGAACTCAGATATCTCAGCTTCTTTGTATGAATCACTGTATAAACAGTCTTCATCTCACATAGAGGAAACTGTGCAGAGCTTGTATTGCTAGGTTTGCTTTACAGTTTGAGGTTTCTAAATACAGATGTGCACTTAAGCTGTTGTTCGAGGCTTGTCTTCTGGGTATGCTAAATAGCAGGTTTTAAAGGGGCACAAAAAATTCAACTCCATCTCGCGTAAATGAAATATCTTTGCTAAACTAGTGGTGAACTAGGCATTGGAATGTGCATATGTGACAAGAAACGGGGGACTTGTCTTCGGCTTCCTGCTGACATGCCTTCTGCCTGGAGAACTGTGATTTTTCCACCCTTAAGTATATCAAAAGCAATCTTTTTCTCCTTGTGGTTTTCTTGTCCAGATCCAGAACATTAAGCATATAGCATTATAGTTCATGCCTGTGAAAAACCTCCGATGGAAATGTGGGATTCTTTACAGAATGCTGCATTCAGGCAGGGTGCGAGGAACTGCAGAACCTTGGTAAACTCTCTGGGTTTCCTTTCTTCTATGGTGGAGTCGTAGAAAGTGATTGTTTTGCCCAGCAGTGTGGTTGCAGTACAGGTCTGTAATTCTTATCTAAGCACAAGGTTATGTCACTGATATCTACTCCGCCTTGTATGTGGCTGTTGCTTCACAGCAGAAGTGCAGGTGGCGTGAGAGCTGATTTTGATAATGTTTGTGTATGTTCATTGGTCTAAGCCTGTAGGTTTCACACCCCGTGATTGCAGCATGAGCAGTAGCTCAAGCAGTGCAGAAGGTGTGGATGCTCTTCACAGGTGTAAAAAGACTTGTCTCTGCCTTGAGGTTTTTTAAATTTTGATAAAAATATCTGTCACTGATGAAGTTGTTGAAAGGAAACAAAGAGACCTATTGCTGTCTCTTTGTTGCAACTTAGTTGCTCTGATTTTTTTAAGCTAAATTTTTTGGATATGTTGTAATTTGATGACTGCGTTTGGAATAAAGGTCAGGGTGGAGGTTAGCGCTGGCTGAGCT